AAATATTAAGACTATGAAATATCAAATTGATATATTGAAATATCAACTTCACATTGTCTTGAAAAAATATTAAACATATCATCTTTTTAAGCACAAGCTGATAAATGATAAGCACAAGCTAATAAACTACAAGCATAGGCTAATGAATAACAAGCACAAGCTGATGAACAGATGCAATTCAATAAACTACAAACACAAAATAATAATAAACAAGAGCAAATTAATGAACAAGAGCAAATTAATAAACAAGAGCAAATTAATAAACAAGCACAAGTCAATGAACTACAAGAACAAGTATGTAGACAAGTACAAGGCAGACAAGCACAAAGCAGGCAAGCACAAAGTAGACAAGCACAAAGCAAGCAAGCACAGATCAGGCAAGCACAAAGTGGGCAAGCACAAAGTTGGCAAGCACAAAGTAAGCAAGCACAATGCAGGCAAGCACAAGGTTGGCAAGCACAAGATGAGCAAGTACAAGGCAGCCAAGTGTATAATGAGCAAGCACAAAGTGGGCAAACACAAAATAAGCAAGCTAATAATAGACAAGAACTAGGTAGACAAGTGAATAGTAGGCAAGCACAAGATGGACAAATGAATGCTAAACAAGCACAAGGTGGCAAGCATATAGCAAGCAAGCACAAGTCAATGAACAAACTAATGAACAGATTAGTATTATTAAAATTTATCATATAGTATTATATTTTTTTTTGGAATTAAGGTGAGGCCTTGCTTGTATCTTTATTAGTAGTTTAAAAATTAGTAACTATGTGAAGCTGCTATATACAAAAAGTAATTTTTTATATAAATACTATGGCTAAAATCAACACTTGCAGTCAGGGCTAAACTATTAAACTGCTAACTATATAGCTATTCTAAGTACAAATAAAAAAAAAACTACATTTAAGAATAAAAGCTTAGACATATTTATCTGTAACCTAAACCTACTAGAGTGATTAAGACTCACCTAGATTTATAAGTTTAAAATATGGTTATAAGAAATATTGTATTTAATCCAAAAAATGATCCAGATATTGATTTTATAGATAGCATAGCCAATAGGTAAACAGGTATTAGAGTTGGAGTATAGTTGGTCAAGTAGCCCATATAGACAAGAATAAATATAATTTTTGTGATTAGAGTTTCTTTTGTTATTTTGATTTGATTGAAATGAGAGTCTGGCATAGGGTGGTTTAAGTCCTTGTTATTGGTTTTTTTTTTTTTTAAATATTGCCAGTAAGGCCATGCCTTTAACTTTATTGAAATTTAATTGAAGTTTTTACAAAAAAAAGCTTGCTTTTAAATTACATATGAAGAATAAAGACTCAAACATATAATCTGTGATCTAAACCTACAAGAGTGTCCAAGACTTACCTAGATTTGGTATTAGTAATAATATATAAGAGAGGGGTATGATATTTAATCTATTGGATAGTCCAAAGATTAATTTTAGTAATAATTTGTAGTATTAAGATAGGAAGTAATAATAGACTAAAAGGAGAATTATGAGTTAAGTTTGTAGAAGGTGTAATTGAGGACTGTGCTAATTGTGAAATACAATATAGAATCTATATTTGTTTATATATTTGTTGGTTTAAATAAAAAAGAAATTTAATAGAAGTATTATAAATAATGAAAATAAGGTCAATAGGAACTAACCCAGATAAAGTAGAAATAAGAGATGGTATATGAGAAAAATTATGCAGTTTAAAACTGTTAAGTGTAAGAATTTCTTGATGTAAATTAGAAACCAGATTAGAGGAAATGTCAAGAGCAATAGCATTTAAGATGCAATTAAGAGAATTAGAAATTAAATAATAAATTGTTTGAGTAGAAGGACAAAGAGTTCAGTGTAATAAAAAGCTAGTTTGATTACATTAATGGCAGAAAGGAGAATAAGAGAAGTTTCATTTGTAAAGAGTGTAAGGAACAGGTAGTTCATTTAAGAGAATTTTAACATGAAAGGTTTTTAGAGTAGAGGAATAAAAACTATAAGCAAAGTTAGAAACCTTTTGATTGTTATTAATGTAAAGCTATGTGGTTTCTCAGTTGATATTAGGAGCAATAGAGGACCATTGTTGAAAATGATACTGGGATGTCCAAAGTGTTATGATATGAGCTTGACAGATAGTACAGATAGAGTGTTGAATAGAAATTTCAATAGGAAATTGGTTATAAAATGGGATATAAGCAAAGTTGTAAGGGTTGTTAGTTAAGAATGTTAAAAAGAGTAGTATTTGGTAACTACAAGCAAGTTGGTTAGCAAGGTTGTTAAATGGATCATTCTGGTGTGCAGTAACTTTGTGAAAGGTAAGCTGAATGTTGTATAAGTTAATGAAATTAATAAGAGTTTGCCAAATAGAAAAGTATAGGGTATGAGTATAAAAGAGTTTGGATGCTAATAAACAGATACTGTAGTATTTGGAAATTACAGATTGTGAGTTAGTGAAGATATAAACAGAACAGTTTCTGGGAGCAGTTATAATTGCTGAGAGAATAGCAAGAATTTCAGATTTGAAAGAGCATGACCAAAGTTTAATTTGTGCTTGAAATAAGTGAATAGTTGCTGAATTATCAACTTGAACCCAACCTATGTCCATAGAGCATTGAGAGGTACAAAGCTCAATAACAGAACCATCAGTATAAAATAAAATGGTAGTTAGATTGTAGTTGGAATTAGCAATAAACTGTAAGCTATTAGTAAGTTGGTTAAACTGAAAGATGCAAGGTAATTGTTGTGAATTGATTATTATTGAAAGAGGAGATGGAATATTTAGAGGATGTCAGATAGCTACAGAGTATGCAATATCAAGAAAGTTAGTATGTAGATTAAGAGTTTTGTCAAAATTGATATGGCAAAATAGTTTTGTAGCCAGATTTGTAGGAATAAAGATAGTGCATTTGTTGGTGATTGTATTAGAATTAAGTTGATATTTTGAACATATAGTGGTAGTAGAAGGAGGAGTAGGATATATATTTAAAAACTAGAACTAGTATAAGCAGTGCTAGTAAGTAATAAGGGTAAGGCCTATAGAGATATTATGCCTTCTGGTCTTGCCAATAATTATTTGATCATTAAGAACAGTAAATAGCTAAGGTTTAGTGTTAGAGGTGAAGAAGCCAGTAGTATAAGAGAAATAATTTGTTTGAGGTAAATTAAAGTTATATATAGAATACATTAATAAGAATAACTTGTAGTAATGTTCTCAAGAGTAGTAAACCATTGAGATATAATATTTTTAGAAAGTTTATTAAGTCTAGAAGAAATATGATACCAATGTAATAAGCATGAATTATCATATATTGTAAGTTGATCAAAAAAGAGTAGTTTGTAATGTCTAACTTATTTTTTGAAGATAGGATATTTTGAATAAAATGAGAGAAAGGATTCAAGAGAGATAGCTCCATTGTTAAGAGTATATGGATTGTTATAAGTTGGGTTAGTAAAAAATGTTTAGCCAATGTGCTTTATAAGCTGGATGATTTTAAAGTTTGTAGTTAAATAGTTTGAACTATTAATAATTAGATTAGAATGTAAAAAAATATTGATAGAGAACCAAAGGTTGGTTTGTAATTGTTAAATTCAGATGTGAGTTGATGTACCTAATAAGTCAGAGTTATTAAGTCATTTAAGAAGGTTAGAGATATGGTGTTGTAGTTGAATGTCCTAGATGTGTTTAATGTTATAAATTTGGAGATGTAAAAGAGTGCTGGAAGGTATTGTATGGCAAAGTTTAGTTTTGAGTTTGACAAGACTAATATGTTGAGTAAAGATTTTATTGCAGGTAGGCTGGCTAACTACAATGTTTTGGTGATGATATTCAAGGGTAAGAATAATAACTATGTTAATAATATAACAGGCATATAAGTTAGTGATACATTTAGTTTTAGAAATTTGAATGAATTGAGAGGATTTAGCAAAAAGCAGTTTTGTTTGTTTAGATTGCTTATTGTCCAAAATGAACTAGTAACCTAAAAATTTAAAGTATTGTTTAGAAGAATAAAGTGAGAGAAAGTGATTATTATAAGAAATAGAGGTGTAGTGAGATGGAGGATTATTGATAACCAGAATAGATTTTGAGGGGTTAACTTGAATGTTAGCTATAGCATAAAATGATTTAGCTATGGATAATATATTGGAAAGCTTATTTTGTGATAAAGCAACTCAAAGAGTATCATCTATATATGCCAAGACAGAGCATTGTTTTTGCAATGAGTTGAATGTTCAGAGTTTAAGGTTAGTAGCCCAAGAGGATTGTAAGGTATAGCCAGGTACTTGTGCATGTATGTATGATATAAGTGGATCATAATATATGCATCATAATAAAGGAGTAATAGTTTCAAATTGGTCAATGCTATTGTAAACTAGGTATGAGAGAGTAAGACCAAGATTAGTAATAACTTGGTTGTGGCAATCAGTCAGAAGATCAGAGAAAATATTGATAATAGATAAAGGAAGTGCCAGACAGAAAAGTGAATGTTTAAAAAGAATAAAGTTAACAGAATCATATGCTTTACTTATATCTTGTGAAAGTAGCCAAATGTTCTTGTGATTACAAGTAGCATCTTCAATAAAATTATTAAGGATTTGAATAAGTATTGAAGTGCTATTATTAGAAAGTGCAATATAATTAAAAGATAAAAGGATAGGATTAGAAAAAAATATAATGCTTAGTCTGTTTGTAAGGATTTTAGTATAAAGTTTGTGAATGTATTTAACAAGACTAATGGGCGAATGAGGTTAAGATTATCATCAAAGGAGTTGCATTTGGGAATAAAATAGATTCTACTATGTTTTCATTACTTAGAAATTCTGTTTTCAAGAAGGCAATGATTAAAAAGACTGGTAATGGCAAAAATGCATTTAGAGCTGATATGTTTAAGCATTTCATAACTAATGCCTATGAGACTACAGGCTTTGTTGTTAGGAAGCTGTGAGAGTGTTTGAGAAAGTTATTCATTTGTAATAGAAGAGTTAAGAAATTGGTACCAGGTTGGGTTAATATGAGGCAGTGAAAGATTGTGTTGTTGCCAAAAAGTATTAAAGAGAGTTTTATCAATAGGTCTAAATGCAATATAGTCATGAAAATGTGATTGTACATGCTATTTAATAAGTAATAGATCAGTTATAATCTCATTAGACAGTTTTATATTAGAGAAATGGACAGGTTAATGATAATAGTTAAAAATGCTAATAATAGCTTGAATAGGATGTGATTGAGAGTAACACATCTTTTGTTAATAGCTTTATTAATTTGTTGTTGAAGTAGAAAAGAGTTTTCAAGATAACAAGCATAAAAAAATTGCTTTCAGATAGAGTAATCATGTTGAAGCCAAGGTTAAGTACAAGATAGGTTAGTGAAGTTAAGTGGTCAAAGATCATATTGAGACAATTTGTTAATTTGGGAGATATTTTAATTAATGTTAGAGATGTTGGAATGTTGAATAAGTTTTTTAACAAGTTTGATACTATAACTAAGCTTTTAAATGATAGGTGTAATAGAGTACTGTAAGGTGAATATTGATGATTGTAGTTATGTTTACAAAAAACTTTGCTCAAAATAGTATGAGTAGCAAAATAAATAATAGAGTTTTGAATTTTGTGCCAAGTTGTTT